TTTTTAGTTGTCCAGATAATTTCTTTCTATTTTTAGTAGAGACAGTATCTTGCTCTTGTTCAGGCTGGTCTTGAACTCCTGACCTCGAGTGATCCTCCTGCCTCAGCCTCCCAGAGTGCTAGGATTACAGGCATGAGCCACCGCACCCAGCCGCAATGGAAAGATTTTTATATAAACCAATATTATTGGTTAAGTATAATTCCTATTCACAGAAGGATTTCCCTGACGCTGCAGTGTCCAAATTTCCAGAAATCTTGCACCTCTAGGCCTTCTTATACCATTTCTAATCCTGTCAGTTTACTCAACTTTTGTCTTTTTTAAAAAAACGTGTTGGTATAAATAGAAAAACACCTCCAAGCCAACAATTATTCAGTAATTGTTAAGATCCAAAACAACACAAAATAAAGTTCATCTGATAAGGCTCATGTTACTATATCAAAAGCTACTGCTCAAAAACGTTCAGTGGCTTCAAAAAATGTTCAGAGTCTTTCTGCACCCCTCTGTGGGCTGTTGCATTGCACAGCCATTCTCTCCAATTTCCACATGTTGAATGAAATGCTATCCGTTCTTTAGGGATGATTCAAATCCTACCTCTTCGGTTGCTACTCATTTGTTCACACCCAGTTCCTGTAGCGCATTGTTAGCATCTATGTTAGGGCACTTGTTACAGCTCCCCTATATCAGTTATTTATGTGAGGGTCTGTCTCCCTCCCTATACTGTGGGCATCAGTAGTCCCCTGGTCCACAGAAGAGGCTCAGTAAGCACACCGCACTGAAGGATATGTATACTCACAGCTTTGCTGTGTCCATAAAGGGAATACATGTTAAGCAGCACCACAGAAAATACCATAGTGAACAGAGAGAACAGGAACAAGCTAGAACAAGGTGCTGTTCTAAGGCTTCTCTAAAAATCCCTGTCCAAAACCAAGTTGAGCCTTACTTCCTCTCTAATGGGGTTTGCCCATGGACCCGGCACGTTCTAGAGACTGTCTACTCTAACACAGACAGAGAGGATGCCACCCTCTGCGCCTTTATGCTCTCCCTGGCATGAGGAGTCCCATCACTGAGGAAAAGGGAACCAATGGGCAGTCTGGTTCTAGGCCACAGACAGGAAGTTCGGGGGGAAGGGGAAACCACAGCAACCAACTTCCTTCAACAGGACAGGTGGCGGTCAGGGGCAGAAAAGAAGAAATTGTGGCCACTAGCTGTCATACACGGTCCTGTCTTCTCTGGCTCTTATCTCTCTCTTTCTCTCTTTTTTTTTAAGAGACAGGGTCTTGTTCTATTGCTTAGACTGGAGTGCAGTGGCACAATCAACGCTCACTGTAGTCTTGAACTCCTGGGCTCAAGTGATCCTCCTGCCTCAGCTTCCCAAGTAGCTGGGATTATAGGTTCATACCACCACACCTGGCTATTTAAAAAAAAAATGTTTGTTTGTAGAGATGGGGTCTTGCTATGTTGTCCAGGTTGCACTGGAACTCCTGATCTCAAGCAATCCTCCCAGCTCGGCCTCCCAAAGTGCTGGGATTATAGGCCCACTGCGCCTGGCTTTTTTTTTTTAGAAATGGAGGAGGGGTTCTTGTTTTGCTGTCCATGCTGGCCTCAAACTCCTGGGTTCAAGTGATCCTCCCATTTCAGGCTCCCAAAGGAGCTGGGACTATAGGCATGCCATTTCTCTAGCAAGTGAACTGGGTGGTATAATTTAAAGGAAAGTGAACTACCAAAATTTTCTCCCTCACAGCCTGAAACTAGTAAGAGAACAATCGTTGGGATTAACCCACAGGCTCCCATATGGGGCCAGGAAGAGGAAGGCCACTTCAGGGAGAAGCTATTTGATCAGTTTGCTTTCCTGGCTGTGTTTTCCAGGGATTCACTCAGGGAATGGGTTTTTATGTGGAAAGGAGGAACTGGAGAGAACCTGAGGTAATTTTGAGGCATGAGGTACTTCAGTGGAAGGACAGGCCTGGGTACGGTGCCACGCCACATAGGGAGGGGCTTACTGACAGGATTGGAGCGCGCATGTGGCCCTGGACGGCTTTGGGCCAAGTAGACCTGGCTGTCCCACTTAGGAGTCATTTGGCCTTTTAGAGCCTCAGTTTCTCCATCTGATGATAATACAGGGTTCTGGTAGGGCTAAGAGATAATGTATGTGAATGCCTTGTGCAATATGTGGTAGGTATTATTATTAATCCAAGTCTCTTCAAAACAACCCCCTGATCCCAACACTGTCAGAAAGTTGTTCCCTGTCTTTACTAAGTCAAGAGCTGTCATCCTTTCACCTGGGGCTCGCCCACCTGTCATAGCAGATGTGCTAGAGAAGGATGGCTTCTGGCTCATGGCCACTGCACCCGCTCCCCAGAGATACAGGAGTAGCCTCTTTCCTATATCCTTACCACAAATGTGCTCTAGGGCCTAGGATGGTGCCTGGCAAACAGGAGGTATGCCTAAGGTACTTCTCGAAGTGAGCCAAGAAGGAACTCGGTCATATGTCCCAACTGACCTTATCAAACCCTCTGACTCCTCCATGTAGGCTGTTGGGCTCCCTGTTAATGGCCAGGTGATACTCCTTCCCATCGACCTTGAACGTTCCTTTGGCGATTCGGTTGGCCACCCTTCCAACCACTGCTCCAAAGTAGGGCTGCTTTTGGAGATACCCTGAAAGGACAAGAAATGACAGTGCTTTCAGAACTCCAAGGCGAAAGCGAGGTGCATGATGCTTCCCGCTCCCTTCTTCTGAGGGAAGCTGCACCCAGCAACAGCTTGGGCATATCGACGTCCTCACGGAAGCACGGAAGATGGCATGTTTTACACGTGGCCTTTTCCTTTTCCAAAAGTAATTCATGTTCGTTATAAAAAATGTTAAAGAACCTTATAAAGCACAAAGAAAAAACTTGAATTCTCCTTAATCTCATCGGTAGAGAGAACCACTGTTAATATTCTTATGCGCATCTATCCTATTGTCTTTAAGGGCATGCATGCGTGCTTTTTTTCCTATTTATAAAACTAGGATCTTAGTACAGCAGTCCCCTCTTATCAGAGGGGGATACGTTCCAAGACCCCCAGTGAATGCCTGAAACTGTGGATAGTTCTGAACCCTATATATATATATATATA